TCCAAGCACACCTCTCAGATCGCTGTTGAACACCGTCCTGGAGACGAACAGAGATATATCCGGACGCATATTGAACAGAGTCCGGCTAAATTCTCTAACCGCCGCCGGAACATCAGCTCCAACGGCCAGCGGCGCGAATCCCTGGACCCAAGCCTCGTAATTAGCCTCCATAGCTGAGAAAACCTTCTCGATCTCCCCTTCCTCGAATCCCCCATGGTAATCGACATCGTTGAGAAACCTAGGGGAAGCTCCGATTAGGATAAGCTTCGAGAAAAGCTCCGGTCGCCGGATCGAAGCTATGATTCCGATCATAGCCGAAACAGAGTGGCCTACGTAGGCGCAATTCTGGATGCCGAGTGAATCGACGATGTTGAGGAGATCATCGACGTAGGCGTCGAGCGTCGTGTATCGGTTGAAATCGAAGTAATCGGGATTGACGCTGCCGGCGCAAACGAGGTCGTAGAGGACGACTCTGTAAGTCGGAGTGAAGTAAGGGAGAATTAGGTGCCAAGCGGATTGGTCCGTACCGAACCCGTGGGCGAAAACCAGGATCCGATCGCCCGTACCCACGACCCGGACGTTAAGAGCTTCAAGGATGTTGTGTTGACTCATTTTTCTTCCTTGTTGTTGAGTTTTTGTTTTGAAGGGCAAAGAAGAAGGCTACTGTTTATATAAAAATCTAATATGGGTAGGTGCGTAATGAAAATGAAAATTCTTAATTATCTTCATTTTTTTTTCCTTTTCCACTGCATTTAATATCCTAAAATATCATTTATGCTTTTTGAACAAAAACTTCTGGATACAAAGAGCTTGCGTTGATTATTCCTCATACATTGATATTTTTTAAAGATTTTAAGATGCTTCAAGGGTATTGTTTTAGACTTTTAGTGTTACACTTGAGATATATTCCCAACCATGTTAGATTCTGTAAGTTGTATTTCATCAAGCGATGTCTATCCATAGGTATTCCGATTAGAAGAATAAGAAAAATCATACGTACAAATGGTTCTAATGACTCAGTAAAGTAATACAAATGAAGATACGAGTAGACAAATGAAAATGAATTGTATAAATTAAGGTTTTTTACAAAAGATTTGGATGTCTAGAAAATTATAATTGTAAATATTTATTATATGTTGACGATATATATATATATTTGTGATAGGTGATAGTAACGGCTGTTTATTACTTTTTTTCTTATTACAAGTCACAGCTACCAAATGGTTGTTTCTTGTTTATCGCAAACAGCAAACCATAAAGCTCCTACCACACAAACAAGCGTTTCCTATCTAATTACTTTTGTAACGCAGAAGATACCTCCTACCACAACACATGCCACAACACATTCGCCTATGAGTTCCAACCACCCGCCTTTCATACGATCAACCAGCTTTAGCTCCTCTTCCTTCACTCCCTCCATAACTTCCTTCTTAAATTCTTCATCCAGTTCATGTTTTGTCTTCATCCTTTTCTCTTGCTTCTCCTTCTTCCACATCTCACTCCTTTCTTCCTCCTATGGGTCCATGAAGTACCAAATAACAAAATACTCCAGATAGTATAGCCCAAAAGTTCGCCATTGATATCACTCCATCAAAGAATGATTTCTTAACATGTGTCTTTCCCTCATAATGAAGACTCAAAAGAGATTAGGAGCAAAACATTATAAGGCTTTCTCACCACAAGGATATCCATCCCTTTGATCGAGTCTTCAATTTTGTCTATAGGGTCCGAATGCAGAATGAAATCGCTGGCCTGCACAGAGGAGATGGCCTGCACACAGGAGAAAAAAATACAAGGGAAAAATAGACGTAAACAAATAGGTACCTTGAATGCGTTAGTTATATCACAACTTCTTCAATTTGGTCGAAAATTTGATGGGTCCATAAAGTACAGCTGATAGTATAGCCCAAAAGTGATCAAAAAATGATTTTTTAGCATGTGTTGTTCTCTGCGTAATGGAGTCTTCAATTTTGCCGATAGAGTCTGAACGAAGAGTGGAATCATTTCTTTGTCATTTTGAAAAAAAAAATAAACCATTACTTTGTCATCAAAATGCACAAAATTTCCACCCAACAAGAGAAACAAAACCTAAGAGCAAACCCTAAATCCGAATCAGAGAAACAACACCTTAAGAATAAACACAACAGATATCTAAAACCTTGAAATCGCAAATCATATTATGTAATGAAATTTTTTTTTTTTAATTATCTTCGTTTTTTCTTTTCCACTGTATTTAATATCCTAAAATATCATTTATGCTTTTTGAACAAAAACTTTTGACATACAATGAGCTTGCGTTGATATTTTATAAGATTTTAAGATGCTTCAAGGGTATTGTTTTAGACTTTTATGTATTCCCAAACTTAGATTTTGTAAGTTGTATTTCATCAAGCGATGTCTATCAATAGATATTCTGATTACAAGAATAATATAAATCATACAAATGGTTCTTTAATGACTGTTAGCAAAGTAGTAATAATAAAGACACGAGTAGATAAATGAGAACGAGTTGGATATATTAAGGTTTTTTACAAAAGAATTGGATGTCGACAAAAAGATAGATTGAAATATTTGAAAAAGACAAAAGAATTAGATGTCGACGAATTTGTTTTAAGCGTAACGGCTATGTATTTAGACGAATAAAATTGGTCAATGGATTACACAAGTCAAGATTGTATGCAAATACACAAATCATGGTTATTGTTCAAATCGAACCTCAATGTTTCAATTGTAAACAAATTAACCCCTACAATTGCAAAACAATCATTATTAGGCTTCATAAGAACAGAAAGAGGTCCCTCAAAGACCAAACCTTTTTACACGTATCCACCATTAACAGGAATGATCTGACCATTGATCCATTCACCACCGTCACCAGCCAAGAAACCAACAAGAGGCACCACGTCTTTGACTTCCCCAACCCTCCCAAAAGGTGACTCCGCAGCTATCTTCTCCACCAATTCAGAGCTCTTTCCTTCAAAGAACATCTCAGTAGCGATGGGTCCTGGAGCGACACAGTTTGCAGTGATCCCTGTTCCTTTGAGCTCTTTTGCGAGAATCTTGACCATAGTTTCAACAGCTGCTTTTGATGCTGCGTAGGCACCGAATCCCGGCTTTAACCCTCGGGTCATGGAAGATGTCATGAGTATGATTCGACCTCCTCCTCCTTGTTTAAGCCTATTCGCAGCTTCCTTGATGCACAGAAACGCTCCTTTCGTGTTGACACTACAAACGAGGGATTGTTAGAGATTGGGTAATCTTTAACTGGCGTTTAATCAAGTTTTGTAGCTCAATAACATAGAGACATGTCACATTTGATACGAATTCAAACATAATGATATTAATGTGGAACTGAACTGCATAAACCTAAACCGAATCAAATGAACAATTGAACCGGTACCTGAAAGTGCGATCGAAATCTTCGACTGACGTGTCTGCGATCGAGGGGTATTTGGGATCGAGAATTCCGGCCGAGTTAACCAGGATATGAACCGGAGACTCGAAGGCGATCTCGGCGGAATCAAACAGCGATTTCACCTGGCTTGGCTCGGAGACATTGGCCTTAACAACAATCGCTCTTGGTCCCTTTCCGGTGATTTCTTCCCTGGCTGGAAAATCGTTGATCTCCGCCGCGACACGCTCGGCATCTGCTGATCTAGTGGTGTAATTGACGACGATCCTCGCACCGAGTTCAGCGAGGTGGATCGCTACAGCTCGCCCAATTCCACGAGAGGAGCCGGTGACTATGGCGACTCGGCCGGCGAGGGGAAGCGGCAACTGCGAAACTGACGCAGCCATATTTGATTCGATGAGTCATATCTGACAACAATTAGCCTTTATTTAAAATTTTTAAAAATTGACACGTGCCTTTATTTGCAATTTTGCCACTTTAAAAAAATATAAAGACAATTCAGAAAACAATATTTTATTTTGTTTGTAATTTATTGTAAGAACACACAAACTTTTATAGACCACACAATTTTATTATTTACAGTACCAAGAGCTTTATTTTTGGCTTAAATCTCTAAATTAACACATTTCTTAGATTAATTAGTTGAAACTTGAAAGAACTACAAACTAGTCGATCAACACCATTCTATCACGGTATCACCCTACTTATATAACTCAACATATCTACACCAATTGCATAGGGCTGCTTGATAGAATGAAAAGTTTTGTTCCATTTTAATAAAATTCGGAAAATTAGAAGGGCCTCATTTGATTTAGACCCAAAAGTTACGGGGAATTACCATAAACCCGCCCATCTCATCAAACTCACACAACATTCAAAAAACAAAGTTGAATCTTTTCTTCGATCGTACGAATAGAAGAAGAGCCAATCTCTCTCTCTCTCTCTCTCTCTGTGCAGACTTTCAGATTCTTGGAGTTGTCTTTAATTTTTCCGGGAAAGAGTTTTCTTGGGTCAATCTTCGTCATTCACTGGTACGCTTCGCTCTTCGCTCTTCGAAACTGTAGATACCCTTCTTCTCGAAAATCGATTGGGGTTTACTGGTTTCTTCTTTAATTGATATACAATCGTTTGGGATTCGAATTTCAAAGACCCTTTTCGTGTATTCACCACTATAAAATATATATCCATTTCTTTCGATGATATTCATGTTCAAGATGTTCGTTACTGTGAAAAGTTTCAACCTTTACGAATTTTGAAGTATTCGATTTACTCAACAATCTGCCGAATTTCAATTTCATCAGGAGAGAATGATGTTCACCAAAGAAATGTGAATTTTTTTCCTTTTTTTGGAATTGGCGATTGGTTTTGGTATATTCTTCATGAAATTTCTGTCAAGATTGAATTTTTTCCCTTATTTGGATATGGTTCTAGAATCCTTGATTGTGATCATTTTGGTAAAAGATTTAGGATAAACGAATCTATCTCATAGTCAATTGATTGTATATATCTCTAAGACTCTAACTTATAGCCAATTGCTTGAGTTTGGTTGTTGACTTCATTGTGGCTTTTTGTTTTCAGAGTATAAAGAATGGGGAGAAATCTTGGAGCGTTTAGACGAGAGTTGGCTAATCTTGCCGAAGATCCAGATAGCAACAAGACTGCAATGAGCTACCTGAGATCTATTGTGAAAGATTTGGATGAAAAAGTGATTCAAGTGTTTGTTCTACAAGTCTCGGAAACCAAAGAGATTGGTTCTGAGTCAGGTGGCTTCACTGTTTCTCTCTTTGAAGACCTTGCTCGTGCTCATGGAGTCAAAATCGCTCCCCATGTAGAGATGATCATGCCTGTTATCATAAGGACATTGAGCGTTAGTGAAGGTTCCTTGAGTGTTCAACAGGCTTGCTCAAAGGCGGTTGCTGCTATGGCTAGATATGGGATTGATCCTGCAACACCGGGAGATAAGAAGAGGAATGTGATCCATTCTCTTTGTAAGCCACTCTCCGACTCTCTACTGGATTCACAGCATCATCAGCATCTTGCATTGGGATCTGCTCGTTGCTTGAAGTCACTTGTGGACTGCGATAACTGGCGTTATGCTGCTGGCGAGATGGTTAATAACGTTTGTCAAAGCTTAGCTGTTGCTCTTGAAGCCACTTCAAGTGAAGCCAAGTCTCATATGGCACTTGTCATTGCTCTTGTCAAGCACAATCCTTTCACCATTGAGGCGTATGCAAGGCTGTTTGTGAAGTCAGGTCTGAGGATTCTTGATTTGGGTGTTGTTGAGAGAGATTCTCAGAAACGGCTGTTGGCTATACAGATGCTCAACTTTCTGATGAAGTATTTGAATCCCAAGAGTATCTGCTCTGAGGTGGAGCTTATATTACAAGAGATGGAGAAACACCAGCAAGATCAAGAGTATTGTGTCAAATTTGCAGCTTATGAAACCATGAGAACAGCGGAGAGGTTAATAGGAGAGGAAGATCCAGTGTTTGATGCAGAGAGCTGCAAGAGCCGAATCTCGCTCAGCGGATCAATCAAGTCTACACCAACTCCGAGGGGAGATGACCACTGGAGTGTTGGCAGTAGACATGAGAGGAGTTATGTAAATGATCAAGAAGATCATGATGATGTGGTGTTTCCCGGTGCAGCCAGTGGAAGAACTGGTGTCTCAGGCTCTCCTTTGGTGAGGTTGAATGAAGAAACCGGCTCTGTGCTCGAGAGTCCAAGAACTGGCAATGAGGTAAAGAAAACGCTACAAACTTTTAAAAAGCTATCTCTCTCTTGTGTGTGTGTGTGTGTGTGTTTTTCATAGGGAAGTTTCATTGTTCTGCTGCTTTGGTTTCAGTTTCAGTTTTCTGGTGTTGGAGATGCTACCATAGAGTCAGATTGGTCCCATCAGAGGAACAGAAACGCATCAAAAGATCCGTTCTCTAAGGTAGTTCAGAACAGACAACAGCGTGAGAGCTCATCATCATCATCAATATCTGATGCATCTGGTACTATTAGTCCTACCAACACAACAGAAGATAAGAAGGCGAAGTTCTACAAACCCGTGTGCTCTAGGACTAATCGCTCAAGACGAAAGACGCAGAAGAGACAAGATCATAGGCACGGTTTCGCACAAGTAGTTCAGAACAGACAGCAGCGTGAGAGCTCATCATCATCAGCAATATCTGATACATCTGGTACTATTAGTCCTCACAGGCACGGTTTCGCACATGATCCATTCACTGAGCTCTCATCATCATCAGCAATATCTGATACATCTGGTACTATTAGGCCTCACAGGCACGGTTTCGCACAAGATCCATTCACTGAGCTAGTTGAGAGCAGACAGCAGCGGCAATACGAGAGTGAATCTGGTACTAGTCCAACCAACACAACAACTGAAGATATAGATATGTATGAGGACGCGAAGTCAGATTTGGACTCTGAGACTGAAACAGGCTTAAAGACGGGAGAGGCGCAAGCGTGTGTTGAGATGGGGATTGAGTTTCTTGTCTATTGCAGTTGCAGGGTTTGCTTCTGTCATGTGGGTACATCTGTAAGATGATATGATGCCTCCTCATCTTGTTCCTACTTGAAGCCCAATTTGTACTTAGAACTTACATAGGCTCTATTTGTACCTCCGTTCTCTTGTTCATTGTTCCTTTTGTCAAAGTGTGTTCAAAAACTAGTTTGCTTTCTTACTTTTCCTCAAAGAATTTGTCACTCTACTTTGAAGATCCATACAATTCTTCTAATCATATAACTTTCGTCCATATTTTCTCTCAGATTTGTTTCAGAACCTTTGTAGTTTATAGGGAACAAAGCCAACAACCGGATCGAAATCTTGAAGTTAAGACTAAAATAAGAAAACAAAACCGTCGTAATAGTTTCAACCAGTTAAACCAGGAAATTTCAAGATTGGGAAAGAAGAATCGAACATGGCAAACCAAAAGTCAAAAACCTAAAAGTTGGTAGTGTGTGTACACAAGGTAACAAATCTTAAACTGAGACATACCAAAATTTTCTCAGAAACTCGAACATAAGGTTACAGAAGAAAAGAGTTTCACTACGAGGTAATTTGGTTCTACAGCTTCTTAGTCTTCCTCCGCGCCTGCACCAGCAGCTTGTGCAGCGTCTCTCCTTGGTCCTCCTGCTTGTTTCGCCATTATAATCTGCACATTTCACATACAACAGAGCATAAATGTGTGTGGTTTACTCTACTTATAATCTGCACATTTTACATACACCACAGTATTAATGTGTGCTTCACTCTACTTACTGAGAACAATCCAATGTTGAACTTAAGGAATGGAGATTTATATGTCCATCTTGCAAGATATTGAATTAACCCAGCATTTTCTTTTGATTTATGTGATGGAGCAACAACTAAAGTGAGAGTTTGCTTGGTCTGTGCTTACCTGGTCTACACGAAGCACTGTGCATGCAACATCACAAGCATACTTGAGAGCAAATAACCTGCACAGAGATAGACAAATTGTACTTCAGTTTTTCTTAGAGCGGAACAATTGCTAAGCAAACCGAGACAAGTATGATAGAAAGACCTAATGGCTGACAGACGGTGAAACTTACTTGATTGCAAACAAGTTTACAATCACCTTCCTCCAAGTCGATGCCCAGCTTTGTGTTTTCATGTTAGTAACACCCCAATCAAGACCTGTATACAAAAACAAAGAACAAAGAGGTGAGGAAAAGGACTAAATTCATGAATCTTCAATCATAAAGAGTTAGGAAGCAAAAAAAACTACCATGAGGTATGTCAACTAAGAACTCTTGTGAAGCATCAGAGCAGAATTTTTTGACGAAGGTCTCACTAAACATATTTAGTTGGTCCCACAAGAAAAAGTCATTCTGACTGGTTGACAATGACTGAGCAGCCTGTTGAGGAAAAACAATAAATATTACAATCTTCCTTACGTTCCTTCATAATCTAAAACCTTAAAGCAGCACCAAGAACAAAATACCTTCTGCGCCAGCAAAATTCCGAGATCATCCAAACAATAAGTTAGGCATGAACTTATCTTCCGCAGTCTCTTCTCTATAGAATCAACAGTAGAGGCTTTGAGATCCAAGGTTGCAAGTGAGAAGCGATGCTGAAAATAAGTCTACCATCAGTTAATATTGTCCTAGAAAAATGAATGATACAAGGATGGATATATTCTTAAAATTCAGAGACTTTCTTTCTATGATTTTAACATTCAAAACTCACGAGCATCTCTAATCCTTAGTGTACACATACCTTTGTAGTTAGATTTTCCAGCATCCCTACCAAGCTTGCGCGTTTAGAACTTGGTATTTCCATGTGCTCGTAGTACCTGAAGTGTGGTGTAGAAAAGGGGACAAACCCAGCCAGCACGGACTCATTCACACAGGTAAAGACCTTTATTATTCAAACAAATTAATCACTATTTGGAATGCGGAAGATAAAACCAACACAAAAGTTAATAATCTTAAACAAAAGTTTCTGATTTTGAGGGCACCTTTCATAGATCATGACTAAAAATACCAAAATAAAGTGAAGATAAAGAGTAGAAGAAACCTTTGAATTCATTAGAGTTTCGAGTTCATGAATCTTTTTCCAGTAGCTATCTAACTTCGCACCTTAGCTCAGAAAAGAAAGGCAAATAAGAAAAACCAAACGTGAATAACGAATATGTAATGTACAAACACAACAAAGAAAGAACGTTAAAGGAGGCATATCAACCTTTTGTTTTTACAAGGGATGCAGTCATCCCAAATATCCGGGGAACTTCGGAAATTGCAGAGTTTAAATCCTTGTGATAGAACTCCTGCATGAAAAAGAGCTATGTTGTCAAAAGGTGCATAAAAATAGATCTCTTTAAGATAAATTTCCTATGTGTCAATGAGATTTCATTCAGGTCTGAGCTCACCCTCATGATACAAGCATAGGGATGCTTTCCCCCAGCATGATGGCACTCATCAACTATTAGAACCTTGATCATGTTCATCTTCAAAAAACTATGTCTCAATGCATCGAGCAAAATGGCAGGGGTCATCACAAGAACCTGCAGTTGTGAAAGCAAGGGAAAAAAATACAGAGTGAACACTTGAAAAGCTTCAAACAGGTTGAAAACTTGGACATATCGCAGACATGAAACCGTAGTAGTATCTTTCAGCGAAAATTAACTAGAAGTAGTAGCAGCGAAAATGTCAAGCATCATAGTGACAGGATTTATAAGAGATTGATAAGCATCTTAGCAAGTTTTTATGTACAACAGAAATGGAAAGAAATCCAGCTAAGAAAACAATACAACTGAAATGCACCCTCAGACAGTTCAGCAACAACAACAAAATGTAAACAGTCAAATAAGGAAAGGAGACCTCATATTTATCGACTTCTTGTTGCCATGTTGAAGAATCCCAAAAGTCAACTCCCATTTCTCCCCAATACATACCCACTTTTAGATCAGAGTGCATCTTCAGGGCTTCTGCTTGCTGAGTAATACACACAAGGACGAAGTAAGAACATCTGCGAAGGATAAGTGTACGTATTGGTGCATATCTGTATTCAATGTTTGTGTATCCCTTTGTCTACAGCTTCCACCCTTTACATAGCATTGATCCTACTGAATGTTACTCTCAGGTTGAGCGTATGTGCATAAAACCCACAAACTCAAAGAGAGGCATACATAAAGGAGGTCTCATTCCATACACCTATTGTAAGAGTTGACAAAAGATAGAAACATACTTGACTGACAAGAACCACTTGAGGAACCAAGAAGACGCTGAAGCAGGGAGAGGGCTTGCGGAAAAGGTAGGCATAGCTACGAAGAAGCATGATGGCGATAAGGGTCTTTCCAGAGCCAGTCTCCAAGAACACAATGTGTTCTGCTTTATAGCATTCTCAAGTGCAAAAGTCACACTCAGGATTCCTGATGTCTAACCACACATCTCCCATTCCCAGAACTCTGCAGCTGGCAAGGCTCCAAACGAGCAGTTGGAAGTGCTTTCAACACTACTCTGCCTCATATTCAGCTGAAACAAGTCATTATCTGATAAACTGATACCACCACCAGAGTGATGGTGTCTTTTAAGGTTCTTGCCAAACCTTGAGTGAAGATGGCCACACAGATAAGCAGAGATGGAGTGCTTCAAGAAAACATCTTTAAGGCTCTTCTTAGAATGTGTCAGCGCCGAGAAGGACAACGGAAAATGCCCAAATGATATCTTCGTCACAGGCTTTGTTGATTGGTTGTCCCACTGCGACAGGTGTGTGTCAAGCGAGCTCAAAAGTTCATCAGTTGGGTGCCCAAAGAGATTCGTGGGTCCTCGTAGTCCAATATGCATCGTTGTGTCAACACCAACAAACAAATGTTTACGTTCACTAGTCTGCATAACAAACAAATGATCTCAAACCAAATGAATCAAGAGGTAAAAACAATAGACTGAGTTTGGGAGAGAGAGAGTGTAACGAACCTCAACAGTGACGGCGTTAACATTCTCTTTCCTTCCCATCTGTGCATTGATGCTATACTTGGAGAAGAAATCAACAGATGAACCAACAGAGGGAACACCAAAGTTGTCGTGGTTACCTCTAAGATCATAGAATAGTGACTTATTCAACCCACTTCTCTTCACAACATCCTGCATCACACTCTCATATTCTAACCACTCATCTTCATTTAGCTTCATTGTTAACATGTCTTTGCTCTTCCCATCTAGTTAACCAATTTAAGGAAGATATCAATCAAACAGCAATATTCACAATTAAGAGCTTACAAGTAACCAAAGACTGAGTGCCAAAGATATTAAACCACAATGCTTCTCAAAGCTAAAGTTCAAAATTTTAATGGAGAAAGCAAACAAATTTGTCAGAACAAGTATCATTGAAGCTTGACTAACGAGAGATTCACAAATTCAAACATATGGGGAAAAAAAGGTCAGTGATTGAGGAGAGAAGTGAACCTGTGAGATCGCCGGTGATAAGGACAAGAGAAGGGTTGATCAGAGAGAGAGCAGATCCCACTATGTTTTTGAAATCAAGGGCTCTTTCTGGGTGATGAACACTGAAATGGAGATCCGATAGCTGAACAACCCAAATCAAGTCTTGCCCAGTTCTCGCTTCAATCACTCTTCTTCCGGATTCGTCTATCGAACCAGAAACCCTCGAGCTCAAGGAGATTAACAGAAGAAGAAGAAGAAGAAGAATCGTAGAGGAGATTCTTCTCCCCTGAGAAGCTGTGCTCTTTCTTAGCTCATCGTCGTCGCCGATCGCTTCCATTGACCTCTAAATCTCGCGAATCAGTAGCATTTGCAGATAAATCTCCCAATTTTGATTGTATTTGCAAAATCGTCACGCTTAACGACGAACTTGCATTGTGTTCCCAGAAAAGTCTACATTTTTATTACTTCTTAATCCGTTTCCTTGTCGTGTTTTCTTTATTAACATGTTAATGCAGAGAAAAATCAAATTTTCTAAACCTTTACATCTACCAAAGAATCGTAAAGTTGTTTAATTTTAACTTATTTTGAAGCCATCACAATTTCTTACGTGTGATTTTTGTATAGGTAGGACAAGAAAATGGA